AAAGCCTTATTTTAAAAAAAAAATACCTGACATGTTAGTCATCACCATTTCCTCATAATGTTTCTTTATCGCCTGTTTATTTTTCAAAACATGTTTTGTCATATACTTTTTTAAAATAACTCCATCATTTTTAACCCAATCTTCTTGAAATTTTCACAGAATGAAGATAAGATGTAACGCTAAATATTCTTTGTTGAATTTTTGATGTATGGAATAGATTTTTGTTGATGGTGTCAGGAGTGTAGATTTTCACGGATTTTTGCAAACTTTAATACTGCCGCAAGAAAAAAATCGTTAAAAATTTTCTAATTTGTTACGGAAAAATTCAACAAACAATTTGAAAGTCTATTGTCTATTAATATGCATGCAAAGTAACAACATGATATTTTCATGAAAATAAGTGCGGTATTCATTGCGTGAGACATGTCAACAAAATCCAAGATGGCGAAACCTTTTGTCTCAAATTTGATTGTAGATTTAAAGACTCTTCATTATGCTTGCTATATTTGTAAAATTTGGTAAATTTTGACTGGAAACACATCAACCAGCAGAATTTTCGCATTCTTTTGTGGATGGAAAGCAAAAGAGATAATATTCCTTGACGATTTATCATGAAGGGTGCAAGGTTCAACCAAGAAGCCGTCAACGAATTTGCTTAACAGAAAAACTGAAAGGTCCAGATCATGCACATTGACCAGTCCTGATTTCAAATATGGAATTGCACATACAATTATAAAGCCTAATTGTTTTGAAGATATTCATATTTGCACGTTGTTTGTTTATATGTGTGTTTGAATGGTTTGTCAGTCATTGTGCAACCATTATGATCAGAGCGACTTCATATTTGAAATCAGCAAGCGCCACCTTCTTTACAACCCTCCCGACACAGCTGTCAGATTTATTTTGTTGGTTCTCTGCGCACTGACACACTAACAAAAGCAGGCTTACAGGGTACCTTAGTAAATTTATTTATTTCTTATTTTTTAAGGACAATAACTTACTCATCTTTGCACTATTTTCAACAAAACTTAGATCAAATATTATAATTCACCAAAGTACAAAGAAAATCAATTTCACATGTCCGAGAAATATTAAGTTTAAAAAAAAAAAATCAACCAAATTTGAGTAAAATGCAAAATTTTATCTCTTAAAAAGCTTCAATCTCATCGGCCTGTTATGTTCTCGTTTCAGGACATGGACGGCAGAACCACGGCCGTGTCACTTCAGATGCATTTCTCACCGTACTGAGAAAGTTTGGAGAAGTTTGGAGAGGAGAACGGTTTATGAAGTTGAGGAAGCCTGGTTTCAGCAGGATGGAGTCACACCCCACACACACAGTGTAGCCCTAGCACAGTTGCAAGAAAGGCTTGGGTAACGTCTTTTAAATCGAAAGCTTACAAAGTAATTATTACCGCATTCTCTCGACTTGAACGCCGTCCATATCTCCTGTGGGACTTTTTAACAGACAAAGTGTACGGAAACAACCCACAAAACAATCAATACGTGGAAACTCAATGTTGGACAGGGGGTTTACAGAATCGACACAGAAACAAGACACATGGCTATTCAAAATTTACAGTTGCGTAACCACGCTCGTTGGAGAGATATGGCCAATACCTGGAGCATACAATTAAAGATCCACCACCTTCCCTGAGTTAATTTGACTGTGTCAGTGTTACATAATATTTTTTTTTTGCTACTGACTAAAGTGTCGTTGGGCCATTTCCCAAAAGGGGGGCGGGACATTAACATGTTCTTATTATCAGTAGAATTGTAAATGGACTGATTCATCAATGTCATGCTCATAACTGTGCCTGAACTGCTGTGATTTTTTTCTTAATCCTTACTATCGTTATTTTCCTCTACTTCTTTTGTATATTTATTACTCTTTTGAGCCCCACTATTTCCGGGGTGCCTTAATATTCGAAGCAGACTGTGTGCGGTTGAAGCTAGAGAGGTGACCAGAGTAAGCCTGATTCGCTCTATGGACTTCTCTGTTGACATCCACCCCTTGGCTCTCATATGACACTATGCAGTTGCGAGCGCTGTAAAAACTCTACTAAAACCTAACTCTAGCAGTCGTAGCCCCCTTTCATTTAGCTTCCTTTAATAGGTCTCTCATCATACAGTTAGTCTTGGGCTGGTGAAGCCTGGCGGCACCCATCCTACTAAAGGCTGGGCCACAGTCATTGGCCACAGTCATTGGCCACAGTCATTGGCCACAGTCGACTTCCTCCAATACCCGGGGGCTCGCCTTGACCTCAAACACGTGGCCCTTGTCCTTCGTCTGGGAAGCCTACGCTCTGGCCGGTGTCTTAGGTACAGGTCATACGCCCAGTGGTGCCGTGTTAACACCACCCCGTCACATGGTTTTGCATGCCTGCTGAGGCGAGGTCTCGAGGTGTGTTGCTTGGAGCCAGCATGTGAGAGATTAAGGGGTCGGGGGAGGACTTTACTAGTGCGCCCGTCCTTCCTACTCATATTTGCAGGGAGCAGCAGCCAGACTACAAAGTTATTACCTCTCCCCAATAATAATAATAAACTGCGATCAAAAGAAAGGTACCATTTTTTGATTTAGTATGAAATCTAAACTTTTGAGTCTTTATGCTTCGTCTTTCACGCGAACCGTTCTAAGTACTCTGAAAAGTGGGTAATGTTAGAAAAAATGGTTCCCCATCGCCAGGTGGATTTTTTTTCTATAAAAAAATTATGTTTATGTCTGTGTTTACTTAAAACAGCATCAACATTTTGATCAATGTCACCCAAAAGGACGGTACCTTTAACCCAAAGTAAACAAAATTCAAGCCACGGCATTATCAGCACGCTGCTGTTGGGAGGACATTCAACGTCAACAGAAGGACTATCAGCCAACGGAGAAAACGATATGTTGTGGCTTAGATTATTCAAAACCGACCCAGAACTGGCCTTCCAAGGGTAACAATGCCATTTTAAGACCAGTTTATCGGGACAGTGCACCTGAAAAATCCTTCCAGCTACACCACCGATGGACCCTGAGCAGTGGGACACCATCATCCTCTCGGACGATTCTTAATTTCAAGTTGAAAGCCGCGGCCATTTTTTTTCAACACAATCAGCCCATAACATTCTAACAGCACAATGCACCCGCACATCGTGCACTCCAATTGGAATTTAATTCTTAAAAATCAAGAATAACGTCGCTGCAATGAGTCTACGGCCTGCCATTTCGCCAGTTGTTACCAAAGCCCGAAACAACATCTTGCAGGAAGACGTGTGTGCTCTATGTGCAGGAGATGCACTGATGTGTTGAATGCACATAGACATCACACGGCGTACACGACTATCGTCAAATTTCCGTCATGACAGAGAAGTTTTAGCCCAAAAATAACCCTTTCAGCTTGATTTATTTATGGAACACTTCATATTCAATTTCATAATCAAAAGAATCATTATTTTTCTACAAGAAAGGGGAACCGATCGAACGTATAAGGTGGTACCTTTCTTTTCATCGCCATCATATTATATATATATATATATATATATATATATATATATATTATAGCGATAGTTGTGGAGTGCGTTATGCCCAATTCGCACTGCCCATTTGATGTTTTTGATTTATTTGATTGGTACAGACGGAGCCAGCCAGATCTTCCTTCATGGAGGTACAAAAACGACCATTTTGGTACAATTCGGCCAAATCTTGCAAACTTAAACGTATTTATTTTGAATCAAACTGACTGTATCCACAACCAAATCATAAGGCTAACAGCCTACAAATCATATTATGTCATTGCGGTGTCAAGGCCAAATCTTTTGTTTGCGGGCGGTCTGCGACAGTGTAACAAAGTGTAGCCAGCTTGGGCTGGTAAATGTCAGGCACAACTGTTGTCATAGACACCTCTGCCCAGCGCGAGAATACGAAGGGGGGAAAAAGTCATTACAATTGTATTGTCCTGGGCGCCACAGCCCAAGCCAGCATCCTGTAGAGCAGGGAGTCTTAGCGTGGAGTCAAGTTCCTCGGTCATCAGAGGTCAAAATGTTCTCTGCTTTAACTTGCGGGCCAAATTTAATGAATCAAGGTAGGCTGGCAGCTCTTCGTAGTGCACACAGAAACCACCATTAACCGACCTGACCCGACGATGCGACCTGATTCGAACCCGTCTATGGGCACACAGTGTAAGGAGCAAATAACAATTTTATTTCTTCCGACTCACCCAAACGTCATCTGAACGAACGGTATGTCAGAATACAGACTGTGTGGCGCACGCACGACCCACTTCGACCGTCGTCAGTGCACTAAGGTCATCAGAGAGAAAGCCTTTTGGTTGGTATTTTTGGTCCTGATTACTACTACTGCTACTGCTTCTGCTACTACTACTACTACTACTACTACTACTACTACTACTACTACTACTACTACTACTACTACTACTACTACTGCTGCTGCTGCTGCTGCTGCTGCTGCTGCTACTGCTGCTGCTGCTGCTGCTGCTGCTGCTACTACTACTACTACTACTACTACCATTGTTACTGCTGCTGCCACTACTACTACAACTACTACGACGGGCGCTCCGTTGGTTCAGAAGGTATCATGCCGGACTATTGAGCGAATGGCTCTGGTTCCAATCCCAGATTGGGCGTTCTTGATGTCGTGTTGTTTTTGTGGACATTTTAAGGTTCTCCGCCTATTTGGCTTGGTCCAACCGAGTGTGGACATTATATTCAGAGGTCCTGCCTCTTGAGTAACATAACTGTGTTGCTTGGGGCGTCGAACCCACACACTTTACACTTTTTTAAAACTACTACTGCTACTGCATTTTCTTTTTCTTCTACTACACAACTACTACTACTACTACTACTACTACTACTACTACTACTACTACTACTACTACTACTACTACTACTACTACTACTACTACTACTACAACCACAATCACAACCACAACAGTCCCACTTCGACAATTGTCAGTGCGCTAAGGTCACCAGAGGGAAAGCGTCTGGTTGGTATACTGTATCAGTGTATACTAGAACTGCTACTGCTATTACTGCTGCTGCTGCTGCTGCTGCTGCTGCTGCTGCTGCTGCTGCTGCTGCTGTTGCTACTACTACTACTACTACTACTACTACTACTACTACTACTACTACTACTACTACTACTACCGTTGGTTCAGTTAGTATCATGCTGGACTATGGAGCGGATGGTCGTGGTTCCAATCCCAAACTGGCGTTCTTGAACTTGAGTCGTTTTTTGTGTGTGGACTTTTCAAAGTCTTCAACCCTTTTGGTTTGGTCCAGTCGGGGATGGACGTTAAATTCTGAGGTCCTGCCTCTTATATAACCTAATTGTATAGATTTGGGTCGTCCAACGTCCAACCAATACATTCTACATTTTTTTTCTACTACTACTGCTTTTGCTTCTTCTACTACTTCTACTACCACTTTTACATATATATATATATATATATATATATATATATATATATATATATATATATATATATATATATATGTGTGTGTGTGTGTGTGTGTGTGTGTGTGTGTGTGTGTGTGTGTGTGTGTGTGTGTGTGTGTGTGTGTGTGTGAGGCTGCGTGGTGGAATCAGGCCCTCGTCAATTTTTGGGCATGTAGAGTTATTGGCATCATCTTAAAGCTTGTTCACTTGTCTTTATTTGAATTTTTAAAAATCCATTTATCTTGAATACAAGTCGAGATATTTGCGAAAGAAGGAGGTGGGGGTCACATGCTTTCAGAGGTAAAATTAGTGAGAAAATGGCCGTCAAAGATAATTATTTCCTTAGCTTAAGAGTACTTGGTAACTGAAAATTTACATTTTTGTGCCTTGAATCAACGCCTTTAAGAAAAACCTACACAGAAATGAGTTCTTTAATGGGCATGAAAGGCGTTGAGCCAAAAAGCAAAAATTTGATAAAAATTCACAAACCTGCAGAAAAATGCAAGTTTCTTCACTTTTATTATTTTGACGAGAGCCTGATTCCACCACGCAGCCTCATATGTGTGTGTGTGTGGTGTGTGTGTGTGTGTGTGTGTGTGTGTGTGTGTGTGTGTGTGTGTGTGTGTATGTGTGTGTGTGTATTGCATCTTGACAGACGATATTAAAGCAGCCTGCACATTACAGTTTTGCCTGGGCTGAAGACGTAGTGGAAGTTGTTTTTCCGAATTCTACTCCCCGTCTATAATCAGAAGATATTCACTTCCGTGATATGCTCCAAAGGTGAGAAATGACCAATAGGCCTACGGTTGAATTCAACGTAGTTGTGAGGGATCTCTTACTACTATTTTACAAGTGTGGTATGAATTTTATTCGTCTATTTTATTTCGGGGGCTAAGAAAAAATTACTCGTTTCAAGTACTCTTAACAACATCTGTAGAATAACAATATCTCTATATATACCTCTATGGCATACGACCCACTTCGACAGTCGTCAGTGCACTAAGGTCACCAGACGGAAGTAAAAGCCTTTGACTGGTATACTATTGCTTGCTACTGCTACTACTATTGCTGCTGCTGCTGCTGCTGCTGCTGCTGCTGCTGCTGCTGCTGCTGCTGCTGCTGCTGCTGCTGCTGCTGCTAGTACTACTACTACCACTGCTGTTGTTGCTATTATTACTGCTCATAATTCTGTTACTGTTACTTCTATCACATTATTAATGATCCG